CGCCCCGGAAAGGGAACCCGGGGGGAGTGCCCGGCCCCGCGCCCTCCTCCGCCGCTGCGCCCGGGGGCCCGCGCAGCATCCCCGCTGGTCCTCCGCGCAGCCCCGCGGCCCCCGCCTGACCTTCCCGGGAGCCGCCCGCCGCGATCGCCGCCCTTTCCCTTCGCCGGCGCCTCCATTGTCAGCCGTGCACCCCGGAGGCCCCTGCCTCGCGCCCTGGGCCCGGTACAGCCCGCATCCCCCGCCCTGCCCCCTCGGCTCCGGGGCACCTCCCTCCTCCCTGCTCGGCGCCCGGAGCTCCCCATCCTCCGTGCTCCGGGCTCCCTGCACCACAGGCCGGGCCGGGCAGTCTCTGGACCACGCATCCCGCCATCTCCCTCCTCCCTCTCCAACGATGCCCGGGCCCCTAGCCTGCTGCAGGAATCTTTCGGCGTCTTTAGCAACCCCCACCCCCCTTTATCTCCTGAGGAAGCAAGTTGGGCAGATCGATTTATTAATTTCTTTTGCAGAGGTGGTTCGGCGACCAGGGGTGCACCCGCAGCGGCAGAAGGGGGAGGCGCCCTGGCTCTCTCCGGCCCCTGCACTGCCGGGATAGAAGGTTTTGTTTCCAGACCCCCCGGAGCCCCAAACAATAATGCCATGGGCATGGCTGGCTCACCTGGTGCTGCGCCGCGGGCTCCGGGCGCCCGGTGGCCTGTGCGCCCCAATCCCCGGCCGCAGGTTCAGCCCGCGCCGAGCCGGTGCCGGGCAGGACTCTTTGCCTTTCTTTGGGTTTTATCTGTGCGTGTCAATGGCGGCAAGCGGCAGTTCTCTGGGCCGCGGATAGTAGCGGGGGGAGGAGGAGGAGGGAGAAGGGATTGCTCCTTCTCCACATAACCACCTCTAGGAGGAGTCGCTCAGCCTCATCCCCCGCCAGCCCTGGCTCGGCGACGGGTCCGGGGGCTTTCGGTAGGTTTGATGAGCTATTGTCCTTGTGCAACGTTAATGATGAAACCGCTAGGCCTCCGCCTAGCGGAGCTGTAGGATGTGCGGACCAGGTTTTCCCTAGAGCTGGGGAGCGAGGCCCTGTGGTCACCAGAGTCTCCTGTTAGGTGGATTCACCTTTGCTGGGGGAAAAAGGTGTGGGTGTTCAAATGCCAGTTCTGGTGAATGCCCAAAGTCCACCTTTGATGCTCTCCTGTCTTGAAAATATTACCAAAGACATGACTGTCCATCATCACTGGGGAGCTCATGCATGGCGGTCACAGCCACAAGAATTCAGAATTTATACCCGTGTTTGTTGTTTTTTTTGTTTATTTTTTTAATAAACGAAGACTCATTTAGAATCTGTTGTTGCATAATATTTGGAATAGCAAATGTGTGTTTTAATGGGTAAAGACTGAGCACACGGACATCGTTTTTAATTGGGTTGCTTTAATGTGCAATCTCCCAACAGGTATTGAGGTTAGCACAAAGATATTATCTGAAAGAGCAGTTTTTAATTAGTTTCTAGAAAATTCATTGTGATGGGGGCGTGGTGGACAGTATCAGGTGTGTGACAAAGAGCTTTAGTAGTTGGTCCCTGTGGAAATGTGGTTCTTTTGTCCTGTGAAGCGTTGCTAAGGGCTCATGGCTCCAGGGCCAGTCAGATGAATGTATTTCTGATGGTAGTGCTAACTTGAATGAACCATCCATGTTTCCTCAGATTTCTCTTTGAAGAATCACAGGAGTCTGAGAGACAATCTTTTGATCTCTTCCCCCCAAAAAGAGAAACCCAGGTTAAAACAGAATTCTTCAGCATTGGCCAAATGGATGTTTTCCAGACCAGTTACCATTTGAAGATGTTTACTGTCAGAAACTTGTAGTTTTGGCAGTGGGGGCCATTGGGGTGACCGAAAGCCTGTGGTCCACCGGTAGGAAGAAGCTAAATGCCCACAGCCAGTAGCTCTGTACCATTTCATGGTGACTGTGGCTCGCGTTTACAGCTACTGCTTTAGATTGGACATGTGTGTTTTAAGTGTGTTTGCTGAGAAACCAGCCATCTCTCTACCTGATTCCCCAAATCATGCATGCATCATTTGCAAAGAAATTTTAATTTCCTGTGTTGTCTCAAAGTCCCTAGGACGCCACAGCCTGAGTCCATGGGACAACCTTCATTTTCCTGCCTAACCCTTTAAGCTTTCTGCACATGACCTTTCTGCTCTTGTTCTGGAGGTCCTTGCCAGGCCAGAAATCCAAGCAGGACAGAGCCCTCCTTTCCTGAGCTGTATTTAAAGGATTTCAAATGACTCCTTGAGATATCTCCTAAGGGGCATCTTTTCCTCTTCTCAGAGGAAGTGCCCATCTTCCTTCTTATTTTTTCATCAAAAATAATCTTCAGACCAACATTCAAGAGAGTTCCAGTACCTTTCAAGAGTGCTTGAAAGATAGACCTGTCCCTCAACCAACCACACTCACTGAATTGTAATTGAATAATTCATCAGTGTACAATAGAGTCACATTCTTTCTGTTATTTCAAAGAAAAATGTACATGTGGTCATTTTTACTTGATTTTTGTTTTCTTTTCCTTATTCTGTCTCTCTGTCTCTCTCTTTTACACATGGTCTCATGTAGCTCAGGCTGGCCTTGAACTTCATCTGTAGTTAAGGATGACCTTGAACTTTTTTTTTTTTTTGAGACAGGATCTCCCTGTAGCCCCAGTTGGCTTGGAACTCACTGTGTAGACCAGGCTTGTCTTGATCTCACAGAGCTTTGCCTTCCTCTGCATCCCGAGTGCTAGGATTAAAGGCATGCACCACCACCCCTGGCAACCTTAAACTCTTGCTCCTCCTGCCTCAGCCTCCCAGAGATGGGGATTGTAGGCTTTATGTGAAATGTCTACAATTTTCTCATTCTTGATTATGTGCTCTTCTGAGAAAGGATGAGCTAAGAAATTTATGTCCAGAACCTCTCATTTCATTCTGGGTAGTTTCTTCAGGTAGAGATGCTCCTCCCATTTAAGATGGAGTCGTGTCCCTGTAAACACAGTGTAAGTCAAAAATAAGACAAAAAGACAGGGTACTGGGCTAGAGAGATGGCTCAGTGGTTAAGAGCATTGCTTGCTATTGCCGAGGACCTGGGTTCAATTCCTAGGACCCACATGTCAGCTAACAATTGTCCAGTTCCAGGGGAATCCAACTCCCTCTTCTGACCTCCCGATGGGCATTGTACGATACACTGCACTTACACACTTCCAAGCAATAACCTCAGACACATAAAATAAGAATTGAAAAAAAAAGGCAGGGCACCTAATCTGCTAAGCCATGGTGTCCTGTGGGCCTGCCATACTCACTTACCTGGCTGATTGGGAGTGATGGGTCCTTGATGCTGCCCAACTCTCAAAAGAGGACTGTGTTGTACACCACTAGCACAGGAAGAAATGGAGATCCAAAACTCCAAGAATGGCTTCTGTTGAATGCTGCTGCTTTCCATATAGCTGAGAAATTGCAAGTCCAGGACCAGCTGTGAATGATGCAGTCACTTAGAATCAAGGAGGCATCAGCTTCACAATGCTTGCCACGGAAGGGATCATAGGGGCCACCTGGTCTACATCCTTCATGAGTCAGGTACTGGGGTAGATGCAGTGGTCTAGCTCAGGCCTCCCAGGGAATCAGTGACAAAGCCAGCATCGAGTTTGGAGATACCCAGACAATTCAGTCTCCATGAATTCTAACATTTTCAGGATGTACAGGGGACAAACCTCCAACTCCCAACACACAGATGGAGTTCAGTGACTCATGTTTAATCGTGGGTTTTAAACACATAAACAAAAATCTAACTCTGAGATGATAGTGTATGTAGTATTGCAGTTTCCTCCAAACTGAAACACTGTCTGGAAGAGGGAGCAGGGGGCCTCATGAGACTGAGGAAAACAAACTTCACATGTCTGGGAAAGATGGAACTTGCAAGATTCACCAGGGTTCCTCTTCAGGGCTCTAGAAGTAGGATGTTAGCATGCCCAACTCAAATCTGTTTTCTTTCTTATAACCCAATATATGATATATGAATTAAGTTGACTTTTATTTTTTATGATTAGTTCTAATTTAGTGCATGATGCTGCTAGTGCTGGTTAGTTTTGATTATCAACTTGACACAACCTAGCATCTCCTGGGTAGAGGAAACCCGATTTGAGGAATTTCCTACATGGGATTGGTTGGCCTATGTGCATGTCTGTGGGGGATTGTCTTGATTGCTAATTGATGGAGGAGGGCACAGCCCACTGTAGGTGGTCCTGGCCTATATAAAAAAGCTAACTATGCATGAGCCAGAGAGGGGGCCAGTAAGCAGCGGTCCTCCATGGCCTCTGCTTCAGGTTCCTGATTGAGTTCCTGCCCTGACTTTGCTCAAGGATGGACTGTGACCTGAAGTGTAAGTCAAATACATCCTTTTCTCGCCTAAGTTGCTTTTGGTCAGTGTTTCATAACAACAGAACAATGTAATTAGAACAGATATATACTACAATGTGTGATGGCTTTTTTTTTAAACCCCTCTAAGATCTAGTGGTTTCTAGTTTTTGCTCCTCCAGTAGGACTGTGTTGATATATTTATATTTGACATATATAAGTATATGTGTGCAATATTTGTACATACAGATTAATATTGTTTAGGTTTCTTGTCTGTTTTTGAAATAAGCTGAGATTCTTGAGTGTCATAAAAACAGATGAGAGTTGGAGATCTAGCTCAAGTGATACAATGCGTGTCTAGCATGCATGAAACGCTGGGTTCTATTCTTAGTATCATATTAACTGGGTATGGAGGTGCACACCTCCTGTAATCTCAGCACTCAGGAGGTGGAGGTGGGAGAATCAGGAGTTCAAAGCCGTCCTTGGCATCATAGTGAATTTAAGGCCAGCCTGGACACATAACACACACACACACACACACACACACACACACACACACACACACACACACACACACTAGTAAAACAGTTTCCTCTGAATTGAAACATTCCCTGGAGGAGGGAGGTCAGGAACCTCAGGAGACTCAGGAGGTAAACTTCACTTGTCTCAGAAGGCTGAAACTTGCAAGATTCACCAGGGCCCCCTCCCCAGGTCTCAAAAAAAGCGGTGAATAACTGCTGGAGGAGAGGCTGAGCAGCCCAAAGGAGATTCTCAGACCTGTTGGAACTGCCTCCAAGTTGTGCAGACAGCTCCCAGGTTGCAGCATTTCCTGAGTCCTCACAGGTGCTGGGGTGGGCTTTGCAGTGATGCAGCTGCTACTGAGTCCTTCCTGGTCCTGTAAGTAGCCCCTTACATATATGCCTGTTAGTAAACAAATAAAAACTTTTGGCTTACCAAGTTGGATTTTTGTGCAGTTGTTTCTGTTGTGGATTCTCTTTCTGTGGTGTGTAGGTGTGTGTGTGTGTGTGTGTGTGTGTGTGTGTGTGTGTGTGTGTGTGTGTTTGGGTCTCCCCAAGAAAAGTCTCTCACACAAACAGATGGAAATCATTGGTTGGAAGCTGTGCTGCTCTGATGTTATATTAATTCCGTCAAGATGCCAACAGCAGAACTCTCATAGCAGCCTGGAGGTCTCGAGTTATGAAACACCAGGCTCAGCAGTATCTCATTATTTTAAGGAAGAAATATGGCTTCTGAAAGTATCTTATAGCTGAGAAAATACTGGCAATTAATCTAGTGAATTCTTCTAAAGCTAGAAACATAAAACCTCTCACGTTGCTACAGTTTAAATAGTGGACATGATTAATATTAAACTTTTATTTCCTTGATCAGTACTGATGGTTTTATGATCTTAATTGTTCATAGAGGAGGATAATACCCTTTTTAGATGGTACCCATATAACAATCACTACAACATCAAACCCATTCTTGGCATCATAGGCTAGAATTCATGTCCTGGTCTAACAAAAGAAACAAAAACGAAATTTATCTTTTTCCATAATAAATCTTGACCTCTGGTTCTGAGGATAGAATTTTCACGAGTTCACATGTACATAGATACATATATAAAGATATATATTACACACAGCTATGCATGAATGTATAGATATTTGCTATGTATTACATGTATATAGTTATAATGTGGGTAATGACTGAGCTTGCAGTAGGATCAGAGTCAAGGCTGGTCTGGATTTTAAAGGAATCTACCAAATATTTAACATTTAAGCGACAAACTATGTTGTAAAGCAAAATGAAATATTTCAGGTCTTTTAGACAAATACACCATCACCCCCAATTATGCAAAGCTGTGGTTAGGAAAACAAGGCACATGGTAAATACCATGGAGTTTAA